AAAATAATTTATTGATTGATTTCATTGATTTGGTACTGTTTCGTCATAAAATGATGTATTAGATAAGAATCTTCCACATACTCAACATGTTAATATTCATTAGGGAATTTCTATACATTTTTTAAACTAAATGAATCAATTTTCAATTATCAGTTATCTGATAAAATGATAAAAACTGATCGCTATTTGAGTATTGAAATTCGATATTGGTGCAGTTATAATTATCTTTTTTTGTTAAATGTTTATTATCTGTTTGAAATGTTGCGTCCTTGGACAAGTACTAATAGTAATACGAATGTTATAACAACGCAGACTTTTCCAGTTTAGTGATTCAAATAGCGATGGTGAACAATGCGAAAAAGATACCAGTGAATAAGATGGATGCATTTGAGTATTGAAACACAGAGAGTAATATTTCAATGTATATGTATAAGAATCTACATCTCAAGTTTGGTTTCGAGGGAAATAAACAACGAATATTTTTATGGACGTAGTTTTACAGAGGAAACTGATCACCGGCACCGTCCATTGCTAGGTGTTTTCAAAAAGCTATTACCTATATGCCTGTCCAGCTCAACTCCAGACAATGGTTTTGCAGTTGCAAAAATATAATTTCAAACTAGTTTTCATGCCTGGCAGAGATTTGTTTGTTTATTGCCCCGAACAATAGTGAAAGTACCTGAAACAATAAAATGTTATTACAAGTACAGAAATGAGATTGTGGAAAGTAACGGCATCTCGTTTAAGAACTATCAAATAATCATCCTAGCAAGTTACGGAAAGAAATTATCAGAAAAATACATTTGGGACATTTTGATACCAAATGTGAAAATCGAGCAGAACAACCTTTTTTCCGGCCTTCTAAGTGCAAGGAAATAGAAAATGTAATTTTTAGTTGTGAAATTTGTCTCAAACACAGAGTATCAAACCAAAAAGAAGAACTAATAGTACATGAGAAAAAAATCATCCAGTGGCATAAGGTAGGGTGTAATATTTTGTATTAATGACGAAAAATGTACTTACTTTTGATTGACTACAATACAAAATGGATTGAACTTATATCACTTGATGAAAATGCACATTCTCTTTCAATTATAAATTGTCTGAAAATTATATTTGCGAAACTAGGTATTCCCGCAATATTGATGTCTGATGTGGGTCCTCAATTCAACTCAAGCTATTGTAATTAGATGTAATCAGAGTAAAAACGAAAACAACGAAGAGAAACACGGTACAAAATGGTACGACTTGCTTAGTGTTTGTTTATCGTACTTGACACGTGTTATTGAATAACCAAAAAATTTTTCAATTTTCTAATTTTTCCTAATAGTGCATTGAAAAAATTTATCACAAATATGAATTCAGAGGAATATTAAAAACTGATAATGTTTTCCCAATTCCAATTGTCAAACGTTGAAACGCATGAAAATAAGTAAATAAAGTAGAAATATTCAATCATTGATGTTACTTTTCTTTTTAAAGTGTATATGTGATTCGCAACAGTCCAACAGTCCATCAGCATCTTATATCGTAATCTATTTTTCACAGATAATGTGAAAAATAGATTACGTCTAATACCAGGAAGTCCTGGTATTAGACGGTTTATACTAAAATTGATAAATAAAAAAGACGGACAAGAGTATATCCATTTTGTAAATAGCATAAATAGCATCAATAGTGAACTCACATATCACAAAAAACTCTTTCACACTTTGGTATACATTTTTTTCAAATGTACAAAATGTCCTTGTACTCGCTGTTTGTCATATATACAACGAAGAGAAACACGGAATGTAAATTGATGTTGTAAGGATGCCGTAACTGTTAACAATTGTCTAGTGTTCCTTCCTCGTACTTGACCAGTGTTATTGATTAACCAAAGGAAGATATTCCAATTTTCGAATTTTTCTAATAGTGCATTGAAGAAATTGATTACAAATATTCAGGAGAATATTAAAAACTATAATTTTTTCCCAAGTCCAATTGACAAACGCCGAAACACATCAAAATAAGTATTTTGAATAAATTTACGAACAATAAAAAATAATGGATACCAGAAAGAACAAGGAGAGTCAACAACCAGAACATTCCAACGAAGAAAATGTAGGAGAAACTCAACAGATAGGAGACACAAGAGGAATCAGCAAGACGAACAACGATGAATATTAATGAACTCTTTTAAAATCTAGAAAGAATAAGACGAGAAGATATAGAAAAATCAGAAAGAAAAAGACAGAAAGAAAAGAATATCCAAGAAATGCATATGAAAAAAATATGTGGAAAAATAGATGACCTGGAAAAAATATGAAAAATTCATAAAATGAAATGAAAATGAGCCATCGTTACCTCAAACAAGATTATCCGAATTTAAGAAAGCTATAGAAGAAATGATAGTAAACATTTCAAAGAAGGTGGAAAATGATAGGAAAGAAAGAGAATGTCAAATAGACCAAGTTTATGAAAGAGTAAATATTACTGAAGAAGGATTAGTTCAAGAAGTAGATACACATAAAAATAACTCCAAAGACGAAGTTATAAAGTTCACATGTCATGGCAATGAAATAAGATATATCACAGTATAAAATATGATTTGAAGTATAGGTGTCAATATAAACAATAACAACCAAAAAAACCAGATATATTCCATTATAATACTCATCAAGATTGTAGTAAATTTTTGTTGCAAGAACCTCTTCGAAGATTTCTGAACTTTCTATTAGCTCTTCTTCCCAATTTCATAAGGTATGTGATTGTAGAGCTTCTCACTTTCATAAATTAATGAATACTTCTCTGACTTGTTTTTGGAACAGGAAGATGTAATTTATTTTCTGTTACGTGACGGGTTTTGTAGTTTACATGTTCCGGATTGCCAACTGAGAGACGATTGGGGTTTTGTCGTTGTTTTACGAATAAATGCAGACAAAATCCAAACTTCTATAGAAATATTATATGCAGCGATGAGGCCCATTTTTTCAAATTGTGGGATGCATAGTAAAAAGAATTATCCGGGGACACTTAATGCAACATAATGTACCTAATTTATTTTAATACTTGTATGAATATTGTACTTTCAAAATATATTGAATTTCTAATTGAAAAAAATTTTTTTGCATAACAATAATGTGCTACTAAGTGTAATATGACTTGCCATATCTAAGCACAGCTTGGCTACAATTCGTTAATAAAGAATCTGAATCTGCATCTGTAATAATTTACTCCGTCATAACGTTAAACTATATAAATCACAATGTACAGTTCCATAACGTAATCAATCATAATATACTTCATCATAACCTACTTTTTCATAACGTACTTCGACATAACGCTAAGGCGTCATAATATCATTCAATCATAAACACAATACATCATAAAGTCAAAACAGCAACGCATCATAAATATCAAACGATTGGTAATTGGTAGAAACCACAACGCATCATAACGTACTTCATCACAACGTAAAACATCATAACGCAAAGTATCGAACGTACTTTCTCATAGTTCAATAGTCTATGAGCTGTTCTATGGAGCTACGTGAATCAACAATGCTTTGAGACTGAACTGCTACGATGGAGAGTAATATGCGCCAAAGAATGTATAACGAGGAAATACAGGAACTGAATTATTATACGAAGCAGTCTATCACGATCGATATACACCAACAGATGTCATCATGTATCTGATGGGCCATTTTGAAATACCTGATATCTACTCACAAAATGTCTTTATTGAATAATATATTTGATGGAAATGAAAATGAGGTGAATTATTTATTATAATAATTATTATTATCAATCATCTCTCTAGTAATTATACTGAATCTTTCAATAACAGTCCCACTATCAATGAAAAATTTAAAAGCGGTCAGCTCGCGCTAAACCTTTAGAGTGGAGAGAGGGAAGATGGGATAGGGAAAAGCACTCGATTGACCTTTAAATGGTCATCTCTCGGAGGAATAAGTCCAGTCATCACCCAAAGATGACTGTGGATACTAACAATCGAAACGTCGTGAAGTAACTTGGCTTGAAATCTTTAACATTTTATCTCTTTTTAATTGATCGATTTTCAATTATCGCTTGTATTTCATTTCATTGTAATTTCATTTCATGGTTCTTTCTCCTCAATATGATTGTAATTTTCAGCTATTCATTTCAATATTATTGATTCTATCGGGGATTTCAAATCGTTTGATATCATATTAGACAATGAAAGTTCGAACCGATGAAATTCAAAGTTTTCCTCTAGATATATCAAACTAGGTCTGCAATTATTTTTCAATATTATTGGTAACTCAGCTCATAGTAGTTTTCTATGAAAAATCATCAGAATGTCGGTAGAATGTCAGTATGGCTATGATTACATCGTCTAAATGTACAAAATATATAGTTTCTGATTCAAGTCCTGGGATTGTATCTATTAACTACCACATAGTTTGAGCGGGATTACACAATTGAAAAGGCATACAGGTGAATTCAGAAGTTCGTGACCTGGCACGACAGAAGCGGTTTTTCACACAAAAAATTGTCAGCCAGCTGGTTTCAGATTAATGTAAGTTGGATATTTTGCAGCAGATAATCCATTTGGAACATAATCTACAATAGTTGTACGATTTAGTATCAGACATTTCGTGATGTTAAAAACTTAGTTAGCGCAACGCGCTTCAATAGATAATATTTTTCATTTGGTATAGAATGTTCTTTTCGAAATATTTTTTTCACGTCATAGATCCTATCGCAACCTATCAAAATATCCGCACAGACAATTTTTTATATTTCAGAGCGAATCGGTGAATGCGAATCAGAATAATTTTGTATCAATACAAACATTCATTTGAATTGAACATTTTTGAACAGGTAGACAAAATATCATATCAGAAATTGAAGTACAGTATTTTGAGATGTGCTGATTAGAAGTTTAGTTGAAATTCACTAGAAATGGTATCCTTAGCAACCAACTCTCCGACTGCTTCGGTGTGATGATTGCATCTCTCTCAGATCATTTGCATGATCTTATTTAACTCTTAATGTTTTTCAGGGGCGACCTGGATTACCTGGGGTACCTGGCAGCAAAGGAGAAAAGGGAGATCTAGGTGGGGTGAGTGATTCTCTTTGAAAAATTGTTTAAACATTTGTTTTCGTTAATCGGGTATCACACCCATACGAACGACTACCCTCAGAAGTCTGAACTTGTGCGAGCTAAGGATTAACGAGGTCTTACATTTCAATGTGTGATTCCTAACACGGGTGATACTACAGGGTATCATCATATTCCAATAGAATCCGATATGCAATATTTTCATTATGTTTCCCACGAAAGTGTTGAAATTTATACAATACAAAAAAAATCATCTTCGAAACCAATTTCATAAATACAAAATCGAGTACAATTTCTACATCAAACTTAAACCGTTTTATATAATCAGATGAATTACCCATATTGCACAAATTTTTTGTGTGATATCCCAATTTCGTTATTCATTTGTACCTCTCTAGGGCTTGTAAATGAACTCGTGAATGTTTACAGGATTTTGAAATAGAACGTCTATAGCTCCGCATCAAATCCTGCACTACTAATTCCCATTTCAGCTGGAAGATAATAACAATCTGTCTCCAGGATATGTTTTGTTGGTGTATAGATGAGATCCAAAGGTTATCCTAATTTTATCACAATTCACTTCTGTAGGACATCCCGAGTAGCCTAACGACTTCAAATTTCTTGGATTTTCTCTAGTATTCCACGGAATGATCCTATTTTCAAGGCATCGCGCGATTGTCATAGTAATATCAAACATTTGTGAGGTGAAAAAAGTAAATTAAAGGGAACACCCACACATTTTCTATTACAAATTACAAGTATATCGTGAAAACGAGTGTCAAATTTCGGACAACCCTGCCCATGAAAAAATCGGCCTATTCCAGGGTGTTCAACACGAACTTAGTTGATTCAAGATAATAATCACAATTTTCCGCAATATAGTATCTAGTGAAACGCGTATTGTAAATGAAATTTATATTATGAAAGTTTTGTAAATAATAACTAATCGGCTTCGTTAAGAAGTTGGCTTCATTTAATTAAGTGTGAATAGGTGTGAGTCACAATAAACCTTTGCGTGTTGCGGTGGAGGGTCGAATAGACTCACTCACTTTGGACCTAACCTAACCTAACATAAATAGTTACTTCGATAAACAAGTCAAATTCAAATCCATGAAACATAGACTTTGCAAAAAATATGCAAAAAAAGGTAATTTTTCAAATAATAAAGATGGGGTTCAAAAGGGATTTTATCTAAAAAAATGTGATTTGCATTTTTTTCAGAAAAACTGATTTATCAAATTCTGATTGGATCTATGTCATAAAATATCTCATGATATATCAATATGCATGTGAATGTTGGGTATTTCAATTCAAAATTCAATTCATGCTTGAAATTTAAGGATTGAATTTGAATACTGGCTACGTTTTTCATTACAAAATTTTTCATACATCATTTTTGTTATTTATCTTGGATTTCAATCACTAATCCATTAGTTTTCGTCTCTTTGATGTCATTTTTCATTGTTAGATTCGACAAACATTTCCGATTCTAGTAGATCATCGAAATCTTCAAGATCGTTTTTGTCTCCAATATTTTATCCAGTCTGCATTGATTTTTTAATCACAATTCTATGTAAATCATCAACTCCTCCATATGTTTTTTCTTCAACATTGAAGCATTTTTCAGAACAATGACAATTAGGGTGCTTTTTCATTATTGAATCAAAATAAGGAAAAAAAATAATATTTAAAATCCAAAAGTATGTTTTCACCAAATTTGGTAAAGAATTGTAGAAGATGAAAATAAAAACTAATGAATCGGTTCTATGAATTTTCCGCATAAATTTTGAGATTATTCGAAAAAGCTGTAAAAACAAAAGTTGTAGATATTTTCATTGTATACAACTTCGCCAATCAACTTTTTTTTCCCGACCTCAGATCGCCCGCAATAGATATCCGAAATAAACTTCACTAAAATAGTCAATGAGAAAAAATAACCAATACTGTAATAGTAAAGGGGGCAGTAATGGAAACAACGTAACAACTTCACTTTTTTCAGTGTATCGCAAATTGAGTCAACACCACTAGCAAGGGACAATACTGGATTTGAATTTCTCTTCAACAATTCAAATACATTGCCAAAACCTATCTGCAAGAACTCATTGATCTGAAAATGATGAGAAAATACTCCAAGCGATTCACGTTCTTCAGAGTTTTTTTTTCCTACATATTACAATTTACGAAAAGTAGATAGTCTAGAACTTTTGGAAAGACAATTTTCTGCGTGCAATACCAATATACAGGCCGTTTCTTTCATCATGTGGTAACATTGCTTTATTCTAAACCGTAACAGATACGAAGACAATTAAATGGAAAATAAATATAGTTTAAAAACTAAACTAACTAAAACTGAAAAGCTAAAAATATTTTTTTCGAATAAGCTTGAAACAATAACAAACGGCAAATACTAGTATTATTGTGAAAAAAAGCGACGGGCGCTTGATATACAAGAAATGTGGCACAAAGCGCCCACTCTCTTTTCACAATATTACTAGTATTTTTCGTTCGTTATTGTTTTAAGCTTATTTAAAAAATATATTTTCAACTTTTCAGTTCGATGATCTTCAAAAACATGTTTTGTAGTTTTCAAACTATATTTACTTTTCATTTTTCAGTTTCGTCTGCTATGAAAGCGTGTTTTTCAGTTTTTTTAAACTATATTCATTTTATCCAAACTTTGGGATCAATCAGCTCTATATTGTTTAGAAAAATGACCATTAATATTTCCAGTTACGTACAGAGCCATCTGTCCTCTAATAGTTCAAACAATAATGTTGATATATCAAGGAGGTTACGTACAGTGCCATCTGCCCGCGAATATATCAAGCAATATTGTCGATGATTCTGTCAAATACAGATCTCGACCTTAAAAGTTACAAGCAAACTGACAAACAAACAAACATACATACAGGTGAAGCTAATATAAAGCGTGTGGAAAAGGTAACTGAACAATACAATGGAGAAAAAAAATTCACGAGGACTCTCGCTCCCCTCGAGTTATACGGAGAAAACCAAAAATGATGTTTTTCGTTTTTTCACAATGGAATTGCTATTTCATAGAATATCAAATGATGAAAAAAAATTATTGTATTTGAAATATACTTTGACGATGTAATAATGAATATTCGATAAAACGTTTCATGTTAACATGGCCACCATCAACAATTTTTTCGATACGGGCCTGTCTTTTTTATTATTGAGGGATCGCACGTTGAAACGTTACAGCATCGATGAACTGATGAACTGACATTTCTTTTTCATGAATTACCTATGTATTCTGCCACACCTTGTATACACTGACGCCATGTTTTTTCTCTTCAATGTGATTCTTCATTCATCATCATCAATATATCATTTTCGCGCGTCCAATATTTTCATCTACATTTTTCATTTTTATTATACAGCCACGCTCTTCGAATATGTTCGATACTCAATTCATCCTTTCCAGTTTTAATTCATCACTTTGAATCGTCGATGACAGTCGACAAAACAACCATCATAAATATCAAAAATTGGCCATCATTTCCAAGATCCCACCTTGGTGTCGAGGCTAAGGACAAAGCCTACCACGCCCATGACGTGGGTTAAATTCTCATACCAATCGCTGAGGGGTCAGGCGGAGTCTCACTCCATCCTTCTCTGCATCGATTACGTCACACATTTCGGGTCAGAACCCGCCTTATCCATCTACTGGCATGAGCCAATCGATATGCCGACATCCTCAGCAATTTCTCTAAAAGTGATTCGACAATTCTTCGCAACAATTTTCTTCACCTTCTCAATATTTTCATCGGTTCTTGATGTGTTGGGGCATCCAGAACGAGCGTCAGTAGATACATAAGGTTCGCCTGGGATCAGAGATATGTCATTCAATGCGTGAGAGAGAGAGAGCCGATTATGGCATCTTGGAAATCAATGTGACTTATGGGATCGCAATTTGTTAACATGATTTCTGATTTCGGGTGATAACTCTTATCACCCGAAGACGATTGTGGATACTAATAATCGAAACGTCGTGACATAGCTTGGTTTGGAATCTTTTAATTTTCAATTTTAATTATTTTTTGATATTTTTTAAATTTTTGTTTATTTTCAGCTTGTATTAATATTTCAATTTTTTTTAATTCTTTTATTTCTTGGCTGTTGCTTGTATGTTATTTCTTTGTAATTTCAGTTTTTTGTTCAATAAAATTGTTCTTTTAATTTTTTACAGATTCTTTCAGGGATTTCAAATCAATTTATTACACAATGGAAGTCTGAACTGATGAAATATATAGATTTTCCTTGAGAATGTTATCTGGTAGATGATGTTACATTGATTACCAATCTTAATGGCAATCTCCTTGGGGTGGAATTGTTGGTCAACAACAAATCCTTGAATATCAACGATTGCTAGTCTCATGACGTGAAACTTTCAACAAATGAAAAACTTTGAATTATTTCCACTTTTTATCAATTTCGCTCAGTGGAAGGTGTTCAATGACAGTGTCGTGCACGATGATGCAATAGGCTCGTGTATTTTGGGGAAATCCTTCAGATGCTTCGATTTCAAGCTCCACATCAACACTGGAACTTTTGATGCTTTCGTCTCTTCTGGAACAATCGATGAAAAAAAAAATTTTTTTGTGAAGTAGGCGGTATTGATAAGAGGGTTATGTTGATTAGTCATTTTGTAGCTGAAACCGAATTGTGCGTAGTTGAAATAGGCTTGCAAAAAATTCATTTTCGCAAAATTCAGATGCATATTTACTGTAGGTTGATGTTCACCAATTAAAGTCGAAGTTATATTGGTGATATCTAAATAGTCGAATATTGTTCGATCATTGTTGAATTTAGTGAAATCACGATCTTTTTGGAAACATACAATCACATTGCGAGGGTTTTCAAGAAACGAGGAAGTCTTGACGGCCCATATTTCATATTTGGCACCTTGTGAGAGTAGGCAGTATATGGAGTTCCCATTTTCTGAACGGTCTGAAAATGGAAGTGTCAGCTTGAAT